CAGGATGGGGGCGGGGGGTGGCCAGGGAGCTGGGGGTGTCGGGCAGCAGGGGCGGCTGGCAGGACTCAGTCTGGGCGAGGCAGGTGCAGTGATTGGCAGTGCCCTTCCCCCTCAGCTGGTGCCCCGGGCCCCGCCCTCCTGCCGCCTTGTCCCTGAGCCTCAGCATGGCCTGCGGATGGGAGGCAGGGGTTTCTACCTCCTGCTTCACACCTGGGGAAACCGAGGCCCACAGGTTTCAGGGACTTGACCTGAGCCCCACTGTGAGTTACGACAGACACGGGGCGGGGGGTAGAGCCGGCCAGAAATAACAAGAAGGCTCCCCCCACCTCCCAAACCAGACTTCCCAGAAACTTCTCCCCAGGCCTGCGAAGGTCGCCCTGCAGATGGGGGCTCTGCTTGGGACATGGAAGCTGCCCGGGGTGCGAGTCAGTCCAGTTGCTGCAAGGCCAGGTGAGGGAGCAGCTGAGCTGTCTGTCCCTGGGGAGAGGAACCTTCACCCGCTTGGTCATGCCCTCTGTGGTCAATCATTTGTTCATTCAGCGCACGCGTGTGCCCCCTAAGACAGACAGAAATAGCCCTTCTCAGACCCCACCCACCCCATCTCCGGCCTCCCCTCCGCTGCTCCCCTGAACAACGGGGCTGGGCTGAGCAGACCTGTGGTTCCTTTCAACTCAGACAACAGCCTCACCTCCACCTGAGGGCAGGAGGGCCGCTGGGAGGCAGTGGGCGTTCATTTGCCCAACAAACCTGAGCGCCCACCCTGAGCGAGGGGCTGGCTGCAGGAGCCGCGGGGCTGAGGGCCAGCAGCCCCAGGGGCAGGTGGGCAAGGAGATGGCCACGCCAGAGCAGTGAGGATCCAGCGAGGAGTTTTTTAAAAGGGAGAGTTTTTAAGCTGAGTCGTGAGTGAGGACCGGCTGCGTAGGAGAGGGAGGGGCACTCCAGGCCCAGGGCACAGAGTGTGAACGTGGGCGCCTGTGGGCGGCAGGGCTGGTGGGATTGGCAGTGGTTGGCTAGGCCTGGGCATGTTGCCTGGGTCTGGGTTCAGAGAGGCAGGGGGTAGCAGAGCCAAACAGGCCACCTTTAATTAACGGTGAGCTCTGCCCTGGCTTGCTGGGCTCTGTGCCTCAGTCTCCCTCCCTACAATGGCGGATTTCAATATCTACCTCCCAGGGTGGATGTGGGGATTAAAGGAATAACTGAAGGAAGTGCTAGGCACAACCTGTCACTCAAGATCTGACCGCAGACGTCATAGCTCCCTCAGGGCAGTGGGTGGACCAGGGACCTGCCCCTGGCTGCACCCTCGATTCCTTTTCCCTCCCAAGGGGGTGCCAGCAGAAGCCCTAGCCTGGGCACGTCTCTAGGGCAGGGGGAGGTCGGCATTTTTTCTCCTCTCCTTGCTCAGCCCCTGCTCCCTCCTAGTCCCCCTCCGCCCTGGCCGCCCCAGCCCCTCCCCCAGCCCCTCATCCCTCTCCATGTGCGGCGGCCGGGAGGGCCTTCCATTGTACTATCTTTGGGCCCTAAATTAAAATTGATGACATCTTGAAATGAGCAGTGAGGGTAATTTTGCTTCTGAGCCGGGATGCTAATGAGGCCCCTTAATGGTGCGAACGCTGAGCTGACGGGTCGTGTGTCACACGCAGCGGTGAGGGGGGTAATGGCCGCTGTAAGTGCCGGTAATTGCACCCTGTCTCGCTGGATTTTGGCAGCCTGGTGGGAGCGCGGGGCTCCGTCACCGCCAGCAGGGGCACCCCCACCCACCGCGGGCCTGACAGCCAGAGACACCCCCTCGGCCCCGCCAGGCTCCTCAAATCCAGCCTCACCGAGAATGAGGTGCCTGGGGCACAGCCCCCCACACGTACAGTCACACACGGTACTGTTACACCATGTGCACCCCGACACCCCACAGCCTGCACCGGGCAGTTAGACACACAGGCATGACTACCCATTGTGCTCCCCCTACACACTCCACACCCTGTGAACACACAGCCCCCTGTACACACCCTCAGGGCTCACACACGCACATGTGCAC